CCTTCCGATCTTTCCGGCCCGGCAGCTCGTTGTCGCGTGTCTGTCCTTCGTTGCAAGCCCTGTCGAAATCCGTACGAGACGGACGACTTGCCGCAATCTCTGCCGGTCGAGCTTTCGCGCTTTGTTCTGCACTCTTTCGGAGATAAATGTCCATCTTTCCACGTCACCGCGGATGATGTGTCGGTGCCTGTCGGGCGCCTCGAGGTCGACTACATCTCGGGACATCAACTGGTGCGGGGCCGTAGCGGCGTTCTCGCTGTCCTGTACCAGACGCATTGGGTAGGCCTGACTACTCCTTCATGGGAACGGGAATCCGACCTTGATCTATTCCGTCGACACATCCTCTTGTACTGGTCCCGGGAGGCCTGCCAAAGCAAGCAGGGTAACCGTACATATCGAGTGGCTCGGACTCGCGCGGCACAGCGGGAGCTAGCCCGGAATCGTGGAGAACGCTATTTGCCTCCTGGGGCTGATCTTGTGCTTAATGCGACTTGGCTTCGCCGTTTCAGCACTTCGCCCCTCCCTGTTGGCGCGCGGCTGTGGTACAAGGCCCGTGATGAATTGTGGTGGACCGGACGTATTGGTGCTCATCAAGGCGGCTCGTACATCGTTCGATTTTTGGATGACCCGGGCCCAAGCGTTCTGCCTCTGCCTGCGCATCTCTACTCCACCGCCTTGGACGCCGTCTGTGAATGATGGTGTTTAGAGAAACATCGTTCGCGCCCTCTGGGCGACAACCGTGGGCGCACTCCGCTCCTTGCTGACTCCTTACCGTCGGCTGTTCCCACCATTTCTTCTTAGCGTCGTCGTTTTCATATACCAATCAGCATATTTTGGTCTTTTGTCCCATTCTTCTCGGCGACGTTTTGCTTTTGTTTTTTTTTCTGTCACCTTCCGTTTTGTTTTATTTTGTTTTGTTTTCTGTCTTGTTTCTTTTCTTTAGTTGGTTTATTTTGTTTTGAACGCTGGGGCAACGCCGCCTCAAGACACGCAGTATCGAGTGATCCTTCTTCCTGGTTGCCTGCATTCATCTGAATCAGTGAACTGCCGCGACCTGGATGTCCGTTCTCTCTCGCCTTTGCTTTATTTTTTGTTGTTGTTGTTGTTGTTGGTCTTTGGTTCTCTCAACAAGCTCCCTCCGAAGTTTCGTCGGTGTTGTCTGCGTCTGGACACTTGGAAAAAGAGTTCCCCAAGTTTCGTCGGTAATGTTTGCCTCGGGACACTTGGACACCGAGTTCCCCGCGTTTTCCTGGTTCGCCTGTTTGCCAACTCATGTTGTCTTAATTTTTTTTGTTTCAGTTCCATCGTGCCGCAGAAGTATCGCATACGCTTGGTGCTTCGGGATCCCATCCGGTGGCGTCGCCTTCTCCCATGGATTTTCGTCGTCGCCCACACTTCGTTCTGCTTCGTCTCCATCATCGCCACCTTCGGGCGACGCCTTCATCACAGTAGCGCCCCTGAGTCGTCGTCTTGTTGTGTGAATCTCTACGACTTCCTGTGTTTTATGTCTTTGAATGATGCGTAGCGCCAGCGAACCATGGCGCAGTTCGTCGACCGCCTCTCTTGTATTAATCGCTTGTGCTTTGCATCCTTGGTCCTCAATAGGTCTTGCCCCTGCCGTCTCCTTACACGGGTTGGGTACCTGGCACGCTGGCCATCGTTCTCCGTGCCTTTGCCTGTCGTTCTTTCCTCCTGCCCTTCGTTAACGTCCTAGATTGCGTTGAGTTTTCCCTTTGCGTCGCGTCAAGTATCGAAGGCCGTATTCGTTCGGAAATTTGTTTGGGTTTTGAGTTTCGTCACCGTAATTTGGACTCGCTCGGATAGTCACCCTCATTCCTCCAGCGGTGATACGCGCGGGTGCGCGTGAGTGGTGTGTGGCGTCTGGATATTGTTTTTTTTTCCCTGTCGTCGTCTGTTCAGGATGATAGCGTGCTCTGCCGCAATATATATTCTTCGTAGCTTTATCCCTTCAAGCGTTGTCATTGAGATGTCGATGTTCCGTCTCGTGACCGTTCGCATTCTTCGTCTCAATGATGGTGTGGGGGATTGATTCGGGATATTTCTACAACTCACCCTCCCTTTGGATGTTTTGTGAAGAGTCATATCTTCGATTCATGATCATAAATCATCAGCTAAAATATTGCTGTAGCTTTAGACCAGGATTTGAGCATTGATTTGAGTATAGAATCTGCATGTATGATATTCAGGGTGGGCTAGTAATAAGGAGTGTGGCTGCTAGCATGAATAGGGTACATCTTATTTATTTATATATTTTTGCCTTCCGACAATTGCAGATGTGTATGGGGATGGAGTGTAGACGCATCGTAGAACGCGTTTTCGTTTGAAGTTGACGTCTTGTTTGAGAGTAGATGTGACAGATTTGCGTAGAATAGGGTAAGATGTTATCATGAACGGAGATGAAAGGGCTTTTCCAACACGGAGATGTAGCATGGATCAAAGCATTTGTTGGATTTCAGCTTTTGCAAGCGGACATCAACGCAGTAGTATTTTAGCAAGCTTACGAACGCATATAGGATACCATCAGGATTGTCATTGGTAAGTTGAAGAGGAGATACTTTTACGATGTAAATGACAGTAGAAATAAGTCCTACATATGTTGTTGTACTTCGTATTGGTTTAATATTCATGTAGAGTATGAGACATTAAGTGAAAGTTTTCTGAGGTACATCTTATTGTTGATAGAATGCGGGTCGGTCAGGAGGTATACCCTTCTGACCCCTACCCCCTTAGAATTGTCTACTCTGTGTACCCCGTGAGATGAAGTTGGATCCCCACCTCATCCCAGACCATTGCTGATCGTTTCTCAGCAGTAACAAGCAACTGTCCCATCTCAACGTGGTCGTGGACAAGCGTGTCAACGACAGAACCTTCATCTATCTCTAGGAGCAAACTACCGCCCACGGCATCACTCCTTGAAAGAGGGGCACGGGAGAACATTTTTACTCCTTCCGTGTTGCGCTGACGTGGTTTCGTATTGATTGGTGCAGCCAGCGTGTCATATGTGGATGGGTATGGCGTGGGTCGGATGTATGTGGGGTGTATCGACGTACTA